GTCCAGGACCGACCACTGAAAGTCTGGAATTAGTTTTGGATTACATAGGGTTAAATCTATGGATGAAAAGTTTAGGTTATTTGAATTTTGAAATGTTGGGGAATTGTCGTTAAAAATACTAGTATTGGTTTTAGTTAAGAAATCTTCTATGATTTTACCTTTAGTATCAGTTGGTTCATTTCCCCAAAGAGGGCTATGGGCATTAAAATCTGGGGTGTGTGAGGTCAAAAGATATGAGAGTTCTGCCTGGTTTGCACGCAAACCGCGAATGTTCCGCTAAAGAACAGCCATTTTTATTTATTTTGAGGGCACGGGTTCAGTATATTTTTTTTTGGTCGTTCGTGACTGTTGCCTTTGTTTTGTTTGGCTGCGGTCACGGTGGACCGCAGCTTTTTTGGACGGAGAGTGTGAAGGGGGAGGAGGGGGTGCGGGGGGTGGGTTGAAGGGCTTTATTGGATGAAGGGCGATGGGATGGAGGTGTTGATGAGGGTGAAGAAGAAGGTGTAGTTGGCAGTGGGGATGAAGATGAGCATGGTGAGGATGAGGATGTGGGTGAGGATGAAGATGGTGGTGAGGATGAGGACGGTTGTGAGGATGAAGGTGGAGATGGTGAGGGTTTTGGGGTGAAGATGTTGAAAGAGATTTTGGAGGGGATGAGTGGAGGCAGAGCTCCATGTCCTCCTCCTGGTTATCGTGGCGCTTTTGGGTTTTTAAATTTTTATTGGACGTACGTGGCGTTTTCACGGTATGGAATTTTACATTTTCATTGTCAGCGGTTCTGGGGCCTGCCTTGGCAGCGTCTGCTTAGGTTTTTTGTGTTGATTCTAATCCCATCGGGAAGACGGCTGCCTTAGCCTGGGCAAAGGTGCCTCCGAACTTCGCTCCGTGGGTTAGGATGGCCTTTTCTTGAGAGTAATTGGGACATTCCTTCGAATATGCTGGATGTCCTCCCTGCTGGCAATTTGGGCACCGAGGAACTGACGTGCAGGATTCCTCTATGTGACCCTCCTTGCCATAGCGAGGGCAAATAGAATTTCGCCGGCATCTTAATTTTGTAAGCCCGAAGCGCTGGCAATTAAAACAGCGCATCGGGTTAGGAACGTAGGGTTTTACCTCTAGTTCCAAGTACTCTATCGTCAATTTGGTAGGAGGTCTTGGACAGTCGAAAGACAGTATCCATGCGTTGGTGCGGATCTCTTTCCCATCTCGTCGCACTATGACACGACTAGCGCGGGTGACACCTTCTATTTCTTGCACCATTTTTTCCTCCATACAGCCGTCTAGGTCACGGCTTTTTACAGCACCCCTGGAAGTATTGAGACTCCTGTGAGGCTCAACACTTACAGGGATGCCGCCAAATAACGTACATTTCCGTAACTGTACGGAATCAGCCACGTTGGCAACCTCCACTAAGAGGTCGCCAGACCCCTGGGGGGAGACTTTCTTTGGTCTGGAAGCTTTGCCAATGGCAAAGACGTTTAAAGAAGTTACTTTTTTTTTAGACTCATCGGCTAAGGAGATCACCAAATAAGGTGACCATCCTAGCGATGTTTGTCTAGGCAGGTCCCAGATACTGATATTATCGTCCTCTCTCAACCGTTTTCTTTTGCCCTGGTCAGGATTCGCACCCGCTCCTCCTGACAGGGACTTGTTGGGAATTGGGGTAGGGGGAGAAATTTTTGTTTTTATATCCATATATATTACATTTTTGTTCATCTCCAGGGCTCCCAACCCGCCACCGAGTCCAACAAGGGGACACCGCTCGGAAGTCCATAGCTGGTATCAGGGCTACTATCCTGGAGGTATACTCCCAATCAGACGGCAAGAAATCTTGCCTTCTAACCAAGATTGGCCCAAAACCGGTTCTATGAACCGGTCGCAACCGATTGAGTGCAGTAGGCCGCTGCACCCGCCCGTCTAGACCGAATCCAGGGCCAAAGTGGCGTGTTGGTGAGGGAAGCCACACCTCAGCCACCAGGGTCCCCTTCTCCGGTCGTACGGGTCGCACCCCACGGTCAACGGGTTGCCTCACATTGCGGGGATTTGGGGTCGATTTTTTTCTGGACCGGACCTTTGGTCGACATATCGGAAAGAAAGATAGATGGACAGAAGACATAGCAAGAGCGGACAAAAGATGCCACCCCTACGTCAGAGAGCTAGTGACGTACGAGTGGCATCCTACAAGCCGGGGGGTTACACCCCCTGTTGATGGGACAGCTAACTATTTTTATTTTATTCCCCGTTCAACTCGGGGAAGGACGAAAGACAACAGAAGACAGACGATACACCAAAGCAAGTGTCGCCCACGTGTACCTGAGCATAGATGTCCATGGGTGACAAATCGCCAGTGAAGGGGTTGCACCTCCTGCTGGCGGAGCAGTGGGTCTATTTATATCCCCCCGACCCACTGGGGGTCGTTCAGCTTCTGGTCACGTATGTGCCAGATTGGCCTCGAGAGGCCAAAATGAGAAAAAGGATGCCAAAAATTATTTTTGCGTCCCAAAAATCACAATCGATCAATGCCGGCAAGATTCCAGCAAAGCTTGCTCGAAGCATTCGAATTTCCGGTTTTCCTGAAAAATCCGGCGATCTGGCATCTATGGTTGCACCTCATGGTCAGCGAGGTGCCCACTCCATGGGATGGACGACCTTTAGTTTTCCTGCACATGAGGTGGGCGGTGGATGAAAAGATAGAAGAAGAAAGGAAGAAGGAAGGCGAAGAGGAAGATACACCAAAGTAGATGTTGCACATGGATCCCTGAGGGTTGGTGTCCATGTGCAACACTTCGTCATTGGTAATAAATTGTCTCTTTGGCCTTGGTAAAGTGTAGGAATTTCTTAACACCTTGTTAAGACACACACAAACATTTGCCTTAATCCTGGCTTTGGAGCAATTAATGTTTTTCTTAGGGCAAAGTAGCCAAACGGCATATAAAATTGTATAAATCTGAAAATCATAACAATTCCGCCAATTTCATAATGATGGGCAGCCCTGCAAAAGAGAAAATACCTGTTTATTGATGCAAGCCTATGTTAATGAGTACAAAATAGAAAGAATGTGATCAAGAACTTTGAGTCTGTTCTTACTAAGGAGGGGTTTGGCCAGGCCAAGGTTGTGTATAGTTAATACTGTTGTAGAACTTTCTGTATGGAGGAAGATTAGAAATGTAATCACCTGACGACCAATCGAAGCCTGTCGCCCAGTTGTCTAGGCACGTGTAGTCATCATGGCACGCTTCCCACCAGTTCTCACAATCCGATTTGCAGATAGGAACATCTCGGAAGCGTTCATTACGAATTTTCCTGACATCCTTTCAAAACAACATACAAAAAAGTTTTCCTTTTGTAAACTGATCTTTTAATTGACAACCTGAAATACATATAAAAATCCAAACAATTCAATCTAACTTGTGTCCAAAAATAATGCAGTATTTTACTGAACACTGAAAAATCATCAGAGTTCTGCAAATACATGAGGCCAAAACATATCATCTTTTGCCCTTAAAATTCTTAGAACTATTAACCTCTTCGCTGCCACGCCCGTAGAATTTATGGGCCTGAACCGAGTAGCTCTGTGCCTATGGCCAGTAGAATTTACAACAGAGGCTGTTTTGATACCAATTAAGGGAAGTTACTGCAAAAACCTTGTAATTATTATTGAGGTAACTTACCTTTATGTTTACCTCCATTTTCCCCCAATTTAAAAGCTTCAGATTCAGAATTTTAGCTCAAAGAGAAGATTAGATCTAGATCTAACACATCTACTGCACAAAAACGATTTTTGATTAATTGGCAATAAACACAGATCGGATTACATATGTGTGTGTATACATATATGGACTGTGCGAGCCTTGTATAAGGTAGGAAAAGCCTCTGGTCACTTCCTCATTACCTGCACACACTCACACAACATGTATTCCCCTTTTTTTGGTCTCAGTTTATCATTACTTGAATGTGTGTTTTATGTTGTTTGGTGGTGTAGTTTTTGAAATCATGTTACTAACTCCAACTTTCCTCCATCTATCTCTCAATGAAATCCCCCTAAAATTATATCAATAAAAATGTGTTTTAAAGTAGAATGTACATGCAGAAATTCACATGGAAATATTCAAACTATTCATAAATAAAAAAGTTATGGGATGTAGAGTGGGGTCACCCCTGAGCCTTGGTTCATGGGATTTCCCCCCGGCATAGGGGCCTATTAACCTGCAGCATTGAAGAGGTTAAGATCATTGTGTACATGAAGCAAATGCTAATAGGTTGCAATAGGAACACATGATGAGCATAGAATCTTAATATCTTAATAAGTTGTGATGAAAGTAAACCAATAACATTAGCTACTAGTCCATTTCAGTTCTACATCTCACCACTGGGGAGCGATTTATGGGCTCTGAAGAATGCAGTATTCATCACACTTTATCATTCCACCCTTTCTACTGCAACTGGTCCCTGTTTCGCTCAAGGTCAACAAATATGCCAACATATAGTTCTCACCTCCACCAGCCAAGGCCCAACATTCGGAGAGCACTCATAGAAGCAGAGGTCCATTAGGAAATATTCCCGACATCGAGGGCTGAGTGTCTTGCAATGATCCCAATCAAAATTCAACCATCGCCGATCCATATGGACGCCACGAGCTGTTGCAGCAGAGCAACAAGAACGCTCTGCCCAGGGACTGCATAGCTGTAAGACCAAGCAGGGGTATATTCAAATAAAATACAGTAAGATACCACTGATTATGATTCAGGTTCACTTGATTTTTAAGAAAACATAATTTTTACAACATTAATGTCTTTCCTAAGATACCGCTCTGAAGAACTACATTTGGCTAAGATCCTGCATTTCAGATTATGATTAATTTTCTTAACAAAAACCTGGGTGTGCATATTCAAAATTTGCAATCATTATACAACCCAATGCATCACCAGTCATCCATTCTTATGAATGTTATCACATCTCCTTTGTAAATCTTGATGCATGGGTACAATATTTGTTCCTGATGGGATCATGCCAAGGTCTGAACTTCTCGATTTGTTTGTTTTCCCTGCAAACATTGCACTTGTATTTGAGCCTACTGCTTGAACTTATATCACACACTGGATGAGTAGGGTCTACAAGGGTCCACACTTGCTTTTCACCTCTGCGCCTGAATTTGCTAGATAGGAGCATTGGGATCAACCTACATCTTGAGATCTCCAGTTCGGTGAAAATGGCACACTTCATCAAATGAAGAAAAGACCATTGGATGGCCAAAGACTCTTGTTCATTCTTCGCTCGCAATAAGTCATAATCCTACATCAATAAAGATGACCTCTAAAAAACACCTCACTATACCCATGGGTTATGTCAGTTCATTTCAAAACAAGAAAGGACCATTTTACCGATTGTGGACCTGACCATGAGCCATCATGGACTCTTTCCCCCTTTCCCTTTATGACTTGGCTAAGATCCCATTCTCCAATGATCATGTATTTTGCTTGCACCCAAGCACTTGGATCCGAGGTAGGGACTACTCTATAAGTATAGTGAAATAATTGTTAACATGAAAGCGCGATGACAATTAACTGACCCCAGAATACATACTTTATCCTGCCCCAAAGGCTAAAGAACAAGTTTAAATATGGTATGTGCATATTTCTTACTGAGACAAAAAAAACTAGGATGATCGAAGGGCTGGCACTTGGTTCCAAGGGAGACACTTGAAATTTGAGGGACGAAGAATACATGATCTTAAGAAAGGGGAGCAATATAGTATAAGTATAAGAAGGCATTTCTGCAAAAGAATTCTCTTTAAAGTAGGAATGAATGCAATGTGCACTGTACTGTATTTTAAGGAAACACACAAAAAAAAACTCCTCTGTTTTGCCATTTTCATAAAACCCTGTTAGTAAGATGTATTCATTTACAAGCAAGAGTTTGCAAAAAGTCATTAACAGGCCTGCCCACCTAGCAGCATATATTTTTAGTAATCGGTTTTAGTTTCAATAAGGTTTTTTTTAGTAGTTTTTATGGTGCTCGCAACTGCATAAGGTCATATGAGTGCCAAGGGGTGGATGTCAACAGAGAAGTCCATACAGGGAATCAGGCTTACTCTGCTCACCTCTCTAACTCCAACAGCATAAAGTCTGCTTCGACTATTAAGGCACCCCGGAAATAATAGCGGGTCACAAGAAAGTGACAAACATACAAAAGTAGAGGAAAATTACGATAGTTAAGGATTAGAAAAGAAAAAGTAGCAGTTCCCCATTGCAATTCAGCTACAGTTATGAGCATGACATTGATGAATCAGCCCATTTACAATTCTACTGAGCATAAGAACAAGTTAATGTCCCCCCTTTGGGAATCGCCTAAAGACACTTCAGTCAGTAGCACTGCCCCACGGGGGTTAGTAAGGTTTTACGGCGCTCGCAACTGCATAAGGTCATATGAGCGCCAAGGGGTGGATGTCAACAGAGAAGTCCAAACGGGGAATCAGGCTTACACTGCTCACCTCTTTTTCACCATTTTCACCAACTTTGACTGTCAAAGCACCCCGGAAATAGCAGTTCACAAAAGAGGGACAAACATACAAAAGAAGCAGAGGAAAAATGACGATAGTAAGGATGAGGAAAGAAAAGGCAGCAGTTCCACCTATGTTGTTCCGGCACAGTATGAGCATGACATAGATGAATCAGCCCATTTACAATTGTACTGTGCATAAGAACATGTTAATAACCCCCCCCCCCCTGGGAATGGCTCAACAAAGACAACCTTAGTAAGTAGCACTGTCCCGGGGGGGGGCTTTTAGTAATCAACAGATAGAAAATTTAGTAAACTGGCTTAAAAATTCGTAATATGGTCTATGGCAAGTCATCTTCAATGGGGTGTCAAGAACAAGGGTTGTCATCCAGCATAGTATAAATGTAGCGTAAACAAAGACATGATGATACAAAACGACAGGAATTTCCTAAAACCTTGTCAATCTTATGTTTGCCTTACATCCTGGCTTTGGCACTTTTAAAGTCTAATGTTTTTCTAAGGGCAAAGCGGCACTGAGCAACTACAAGGGCTCAATGAAAAGAGGGTGTTAATACTGTTAAAGTTCGACATCTGCACGTAACGTCGTGACGTAGACTGTCCAGGTATTGTACTTTTCTATTTTCCTTCCCCTAAACACCAGGAATGTTGGCAGGGGGTTGGGGTCAAAAATTTTTTCTAAATCAGAATCAGGGGTATTGCAATCGTATTTACGTAAAATTAAAATAAAAAAAATTACAATTCCGCCAAATTCGTAATGGTGGACAGCCCTGCATTAATGCTCTCCTTATGCCTTTGGTGAAAATGGTGAAATAGTATGGGTTTAACGCCCCTATCAACACTATCAAGTTATTTAAGGGGAGGGACCTCCTAGTTTAACGTCCATCTCTGATAGGACCGAGACAAGTGGGAAGTTCGTGTAAAGTGTCTTTCCCAAGGACACAACGTCGGACCGAGCTGAGGCTCGAACCCCGAACCTGCAATCTCACGATCACAAGTCCGGTAGCCTAACCATTAGGCTACCGACGCCACCTCTTATGCCTTTGAATATAAAAGGAGTTTAAAATCCCCAAAAGAGAAGAATGAGAATGGGTTTTTTTTCATTTAAAAATACAGTACTGTTAAAAATAAATAAGACCAAAATGAATTGACACTAAATTTCCCTGGAAGATGAAGGAAAAGGGGTTGTGTGGGGACACAATCTCTACACCAGCACCAAGAAAAACACTCATAAGAAAGGAGATAAATTTTCGTTGGCATAATTGGCCGTAAATTGCCCTCTTTTCCTCCATCATTACACTAACAAAGGGCGGGTTGTCAAACAGGACCGCTTTCAAAACTTAAAAATGTTATTTGTCATGTATGGTGTTAAATTATAGAAGAAATGAGAACACAAATTTGTTTTTGACTGACAGGGTTTCAATTAATCTTCATTGTAAGAAGCCGCAAAATTATTTTATTAGCTAAAAAAGTAATTCACATCTGTTTCATTTTTTTTCGGCGAAAAAGGCATAAGTTTATTATGAAGCACTGGAAACAAAGAGCTGCTATTGAAGCTATTAACACGACCATAAAAAGCGAGATATTTGGGACATCTTTTGGGCAAGGATATGTAGTCAAGGTTAGAGGAAGTGGCCAAGGACCGACAAGTGTTGCACTGACTGATCTCTACCTTGGGTCATTACCTGACAGTACAAGGAGAGAGTAATACAAAAATAAACAAGTAAATGAAATTTTTTTAAAAATATAATAAAAATTGAATTTTAAAAAACACAGAAAAGAAACAAAATGAACTAAATTTTCTTATTAAGGAACACTTAATCATCAGATTTCCTTTGGAAATTATTTAAAATTAAATTTGTAACTTTTATCTGGCCCCTGCCCTTAAACCTGTTCACTGTGAAAAGATGTAAAACCAAACCATTATAATATAATCTACTTTATCCGCCCTATGTTCCACCAAGACCCAGAAGAAAGGATGACACCATAAACAATAAAAACGTTTTGTATGTCTACAATTTAATTTATAAGATTTTTTATAGACTGTCTGCAATAAATGTAAGCATCATATCTGAAGGAGGTCAGCCTGGAAGCTTGTCTTTATAATTCAAAGCAAAAGGACCACCTTCCTCATATTTGAAACAGACAGAAAAAGTATACGAAAGCAAGAAACTTCTGCCACTCTCATTCAAAAAATAAAAATAGTCTCACTTCTTTGACTAAACCCAATTCAGGACCTGGGACTGACTTTTGATGCTCGCCATCCAAACAGATGTTCATGTAGTCATCCACTGTTTTCAAGGAGTCCAGTCGTGCTTGTGCCAGGATTATGTTAGTTCCTAGTACACTCACAGTTGTTAATAATAGAAACCCTGACATGACCTTGTTTTGTATTTGCCCTTTGAAGTCTGACAAAATCCTGAAAATAAAATAAAATACAAATAATGTGATAAAAAAAAATTTTGAGCAAAAAACAAAACAAAAATCAACATAGAGTGCATATAAAAGGACTAGATGAGATTCACAACAGTAGGAAAAAACAGTCAATCAAATCTTATCGATAAACCAAAAATTAAAAACTTTTGAGAGGGCGGTTTGAGGGTGCTCTGATGTGGTTTGCTCCTTCTTTCCTACAATTAAACATCTATTGTCCATATCTCCCCACCTTTTTTTTGTGTTTGTTACTTTCTTGTAACACCTCTAATCTTCAGTACTTTGACCGTACTGTGTTGCAAGAGGGTGGGGTTTGAAAGGGGTGAGGGGAAGAAAACAAGGCAGAGGACGAGTCCACCCTGTCCTCCCCAAGAACCCCAAAGCGGTTAGACAGTGGCACCTCAGGGGAAGAAAGGACCTTCTTAGATTTTGGTGCAGCGATTTACACACAAACACACTGTCTCTCTCTCTTTCTCTTTCCCTCTCTCTCTCTTTTTACTTTTTCTCTCTCCATCTTACTTCCCCAGGCCTGCCCGCCACCTTCACCCCTCTTCTTCTTCTTCTTCTCGATCGCATCACACTTGAAGTCTGGTATCTGTCATAAATTGGGCCGTCCTGCTCAGTTCATCTGGCGGCCCGTATAGCTTCTCTTGTAGCGTCAGTGGGGTTGGCCACGTTTCCTGTCTCAGGGCCCTGTGTGTCTTGCAGTGCTGAAGGATGTGTTCAACAGTTTGGTCCCCCTCTCCACACTGGTATTTTGGTGATTGTACAATGTACTAGTTTAAAACATTTGTACATATGTTGTCTCAGTCTTGTGTGTTGTGTCCTTAGTCTGAAGATAATCACTTGTTCTTGGCGGGACAGCTCATGGTAGCCATCTGGTGTCTGAGGTGCTTTAAATAGTGTATTTTTATAATAGTTTTTATTTCTGTTAACGCTGTTGTCTGGTTGCTCTTTCTGTGCTCCTAGTTTGGCCATCCTGTCTGCCTGCTCATTTCCCAAGACACCACAGTGTGATGGAATCCACTGCAGCATGATCCTCAGACATGGGATGTCCTCAATTACTTTTCGTAGCCTCGGTAGTTTGCCGGAAGAGATTGCCTGCAGTACTGACATGGCATCTGTTAGGAACACTACTTGGCTTTGGGGGTCTACCACGTTCTTGATGATGTTTGCTGCATTAATTAGAGCCTCTGTCTCTGCCCTGTAGTTTGTACAATGTCGCCCTGTTGGGACTGCCTCTGCTTGTCGTCGTCCATTTGGGAACTGTACATACACTCCGGCTCCTCCTCTTTTCACAACATCAGTGGCAGATCCGTCTGTATAGATCCTGATCCATGCTTCTCATGGGTATCTTTCTTCAAGCATGGACAGGGTGAGGGACTTCTTGCTCAGGTCGCTGTGGTCATCTTTTGTGGTGAACATAGGAATGGACGTGTGTATAGATATGTTTGTGTTTTTCTTTTCCCATGATGGTGCCTCTGGAGTATGGTTCAGCATGTTCACTGTGGCTGGTAGATGGTCCTGTAGGGATCTTTGGATTTTTCTGCTTTTTTTGATGAAGTTGGATCTTTTGAGTCTTGCGGTGTTTGATCTCGCTGTTCTTGTGTGCAGTATATGATCCTCCATAGCTGTGGCCTTGGTGTACTGTATGAGGGCCTTGCATTCCAATCTCCTCTGCAGGGCCACTATAATGTTGTTTGTTCCATCTTTTCTATATAGGCGTTGACCTCATTGCTCCAGTGATTATTCGGAGAGCCTGGTTTTGCACTTTTTCCAGAGTGTATTTGTGAGTCTGTGCTGCAGTCATCCATGCACTGGATCCGTACTCGAGATGGGGCCTGATTGCACCTTGAGTGTTTTCTCATTTGCACCCCACTAAGTCCCTGCTAGTTTTCTCATGATGTTAAGTTTCTTCCTGGCTTTATTTTCTGCATCACCCCTCTTTTTTTGCACAATATATTCCCTCCCATACCGTAGCCCACTGCCCAGCCCTACTATATCCTTTGTACAGAAAAGACCGCAGCTCGTGCTGGGTGAACACGGTTGGCAGCCATTTTGTATATTCCACTGTGCATGCTGAGCTCGGTGCCGCGAAAGACAGAAGGGTCCTTGACTTCAGTACAGAAGAGCGTCTTCGCCGTAAAAATATCCCCGAAGATCGCCTTTACAGGACTGCAAAAATAGCCCCGAAGACCATCTTTACGTGATCGTAAAAATGGGAGTGTCTATACGCACGCGATTGCGTAAACCAACATTTTTAGCTATGCACACGCAATTGCTTGCAACATATATTTTGTTGCTATGCACCCAAGTCCTGCCGTGATGACAAGGATTCTCTACAACCAAGATATTGCACTTGCTCTTTGGGCTTTTGTCAGTGCCGTGGCGGGCCGTCTCTTCCACTTACCGCGTGATGGGCTACGTCACTAGGGGATGGCAGGTTGGTTTCATCGTCGACTGTTTGGGGTCTGTGTGTGTGTTTGTGAGTACATGTGTGTATGTGTGTGTTTGTTTAGTTTTAGTTTAGTATGGGGTTTTACGGCGCTCGCAAATGCATAAGGTCATATGAGCGCGCAAAACACAAGTTAGTTTTGTTCACAACAGTTTACTGTACGGCTGGCTTGGGTCAGTAGTCAGATCTTATGTTAAAATATTTAAAAATCAGTGTAAATATATATATTTTCAATCGAATACAATTTTCCTGGATAACATAACAATTTTAAATAGTTCAATTTCACTTTATAATTTGCCATAAAGGCCAATGGCCTTCATAAAATCCAGGATTCTGTTGGGACCAACGATGGAAAAAATGTCTTGCAATTTCTTGCATTTGAATTATTTCCTTCGGATCTCTCCAAAGTCTAGACATTCGGTTAAGATGTGTCTAATGGTAAAATCTGTGTCGCATCCGACACAGAGAACGGCTTCTCATCTCCCTGTAGGAGGTATTTGTGGGTCAGGGCCGTGTGTCCGATGCGCAATCGAGTAAAAATGACTTCGTCTCTTCTGGAGAGATCCGAAGGACTTCGCTGTTCTAGTTTGGGTTGAATTTCATATAATTTATTATTTTTCTGGTTTTCCCAGTGGCTCTCCCACAGACTGGAGGTGTACTTTTTGACTTTATTTCTAAAGTCAGTCTGTGGGAGAGTGTTTGTCGTTGATCCCTGCAGAAGGGATGAAGCTTTCTTCGCCAGGTCGTCTACCTGCTCGTTTCCTCGGATGTCCACATGGCTGGGTATCCATGCGAACATGATGTTTTTTCCTGTTTCGGATAGTGTATGAATTTTCTGTTGTAGCCTAACTATTTTTGGGTGTAAGAGAGTGTAGTTTGTGAGTGAGGTGATGCAAGACAGAGAGTCAGAAAGGATAAGGAAAGATTTGTTTGGAGAATTTTCTACAGAGTCCAGTGCCATGTCAATGGCAGTGGCCTCCGCAGTGAAAATTGAGGCTTCAGAATGGAGTCTCCTCTGGTGTGTACTGTTGGAAGATAGGGCTGCGGCGCCCACTTCATTGTCTTTTTTGGAGCCATCCATGAAGATGAGCTCCGCACCGGGGTATTTATCTATTAGTTTTTTGTATTCTGCTTTAAAGGTGTTGGTGTTTGTGCTTTCTTTGTTGTGTGTGGTCAGCTGTAAGTCTACTTTTGCTTTGGTGAGGTGCCATGGAGGGAGGTCGGGGAAAAGAATTTGTTGGATGTCTTGTTTGGAAAAGTGTAAGTTTTTGAGGTCCTCAAAGATTCTGAGGCCGAAGGGTTTGATGAGTTATTTTTCGTTGTTTTGGAATTTGGTTATGGTTTCTGGGTTTGTTTTAAAAATGCTGTTGTGCGCTGGATTTTCCGGTGTTGAGCTCTGTTTAACTGCGTATTGTAGTGAGAGTTGTGTGCGTCTGAGTGAGAGTGGTGGTATGTTGGCTTCGGCCTGGAGGCTCTCCATCGGAGAAGTGCGGAAAGCCCCCAGAGCGAGGCGGAGTCCTTGGTTTTGTATTGGGTCTAGCATTTTTAAGATGTGTGGTTTTGCCGATCCCTAGACTTGACAGCCGTAGTCAAACCTGGACCGGACAAGGGAGATGTACAAGTGGAGAGGGTGTTTTGAGTCCCCGCCCCACTACGGATGCGATAGAATTTTCAAAGCGTTTAGCCCTTTCTGGCACCTCCCACGAAGGTCTTTGATGTGTGGTATGAATGTGAGTTTTTTGTCGAAAATGACGCCGAGGAAACAAGCTTGGTCCTGGACGGGAATCCTTTCCCCGTATAGTGTCAAATCCGGCTGCAGCACACGTCTGCCTGTTCGGCAGAAGTGTACTGCAACCGTCTTTGACGGGGAGAACTTGAAACCGTTATTGTTTGCCCACGTTTCGAGTTTGTGCAGCTGCATTTGCAGCTGCCTTTCCATAGATCTCAAATGAGGATTTTTTTAACGGCAGCATGTCAAAAAGTCGTCAACATATAATGAGCTGTCTATGCTGTTTTGGGGTTTTTTACTATGGAATTTATTCTAATTTCGAATAGGAGGAGAAAGAATGCTCTCCTGGGGGACTCCTTCCTCTTGTTGGTGGCAAAGGGAGGATCCGACACGAACCTGGAAGGAACGGTTCTTCAGGAAGTTGCCAATGAAGGCAGGGAGGTGACCGCGTATGCCGAGTGCATGCAGGTCTCGAAGAATGCCGTACTTCCAGATTGTGTCGAAGGCTTTTTCTAGGTCGAAAAAGATGGCGATCATGTGGCCTCCTTCAGCGAACGTCTCACGTATAAATGTCTCCAGGCGGACCAGGTGATCCAGAGTGGATTGAGTTTTCCTGAATCCGCACTGGAGACCGCTCAGCGAGCCCGTCGTTTCCAGAAACCGCATGAGTCGCCTGTGGATCATTTTTTCATTATATTCAATGAGTTTGCAGAGACAGCTCGTTAGTGCTATTGGTCTGTAATTGGATGGGTGTGTGTGGTCCTTGTTTGATTTGGGTATTGGAATGACAGTGGCGAGACGCC